GCTTCTCAGGAGAAAAATCCTGGGCAAGGAAGATTTTTCAGAAAATATCGTGGTAACAATCTGTCACCGTTGCAGATGTGAACATCAGGATATCTTGTTTATCAGTTATCCCATTTATCAGTTTTCCTTAGCTAAATGGGATGAACCAGCTGCTGTGCCTGTGTTTGGGGTGAAGCTGTGGCTGCCCCTGCATCCCTGGGATCATCCCAGGCCAGGCTGGACAGGGCTTGGAGCAGCCTGGGATGGTGTCCCTGCCCATGGCAGGGGTGGGATGAGCCCTGATTTCTGATCCTTGATTTCCCCCATGACCCAGACCATCCCAAGATTCTCTAATTTCCCCTGCTCTCCTGGAAGAGCAGAGGTTGCTGTGGGAATCCTTTTCCCTGCTGCAGCAAATCCTCCCTCAGTCCTGCAAGAGCAAAGGGCAAGTGTTGTATGTCTCTGTATCAAGTCCCAATCAGGCTTTACTCTTCCCTTCGTGGGCCTTACATTGCAGTTCTGAATTAGCTCAATTATCAGAAATTCATCAGACTTTGCTGTGTGATTAATTTTTCACTGGTATTTTGGAGGTTTTACGGGTAAGCTGCAGGTTTAAGGCAGATCATCCCCCCAGAGTGCACATGGAAGAGCCCCTGACTCAGCTCTGGGGATTTTAACCTGCAGGGCAGCAGCTCTTCCTAAGGAAAAAGGTAAAAACCTGACAAAAAGAAGGGTATTTGTGCCTTTTGGCCAGGAATTCCTGCTGGAGGTGCCTCTTCCTCCCAATGCTAGGACACAGAGATGCCCTTTTTGTGGCTGTTGGTATCCCGTGCTGTGAGTCGCTGTAATTCCCAATTAATTCCCTCTTTCCACTGATGAGAATGAACTTTTCCCCATTGGGAAGGACATCCGTGTGTCCCTGTGTCCAGCTAACTGCATTCCAACGGCTGAAGGTGACATTTCTGGCATTCCTTTGGAGAGAGAAAGAGCCAGGGAACCTCTGGGTGCCAGAACTGCTTGTGAGGCCTCTCCCAGGCCAGGGGGAAGCTGTTAAAAGCTGATTAATGATCCGTGATTTCCCAGGCAGCGGCCAAGCTCAGGGATCAAATGGGATAAATAACAGGGCTGGGATTCTTTTCAAGGCAATTTATGATGAACGCTAGAAAACAGCCAGCTCCATCTGGGCCCTTTGGAAATTTGGAAGTAATTGGAGGATTATTAGAGGGTGGAATTAGTCGAAGCATTTATTTACGGCTTTTTTCTTTTGGCCTCCATCTGCCCCCTCATTAATCTGGGAAAGCAGCAATGAGCTGGGCTGACAGCGAGTCACAGAGTTGTGGAATGGCTTGGATTGGAAGGGAAATTAAGGATGATCCTTAATTGGATGGGTGGGATACCTTCCACCATCCCAGGTTGTCCAAGTGGCCTTGGACACTTTTAGGGATGGGGCAGCCACAGCTCCTCAGGGTTCCCCACATGCACAAAAAGCACTCCCTGGTTTTGAAGCAATGGAGAAGGGGTTTATTGGATATTTTGGGGTATTTCTGCTGGAATTGTTACACTTGCTCAGGTGGGATTTGTGTGCAGGCAGAGCTTTGCTGGTTCCCAGAGCCCTCAGTGAGGGGGGCTGAGCTGGGAGCAGGGAACAAAATGCTCCAAAGGCTTTTCCTTTGACAAACACTGCTTAATTCCATAATAAATAATTCCACTGCAGGCAGCTCCCAAGCTGGAGCTGGGAATTTATCCTGCAAATGGATATTAATTGTGGGGAGAACTTGGGGAGATGGGAGCGGGCCTGTGGTTGGGGTGGAGGCCTCAGAGCAGTGCAGGCCGCGGGCCCTGCTGAGGGGAAACTCCTGAGGGGAAAAAGCTCAAAAAATGAAAACCCTTCCATGCCAATCGCAGGAATGGAACACTGGGAACCAGGAGGGAGGGATATCCACGAGGAAAATTCATGGAAAATAATCCTGGAGTGGTTATCAGAAGGGCTGGCAGAGGTGGGGAGCATGCAACTGATCCTGCTCTGTCTGTGGGAAAATGTGGAAATGTTCATGGATTTGGGGTTTGATGGAGACCCTCTGCTCTGGGAGAGCTGGGAATGTTCCCCTGGAGAAGGGAAGGCTCCAGGCAGAGCTCAGAGCCCCTGGCAGGGCCTGAAGGGGCTCCAAGAGAGCTGGAGAGGGACTGGGGACAAGGGATGGAGGGACAGGAGCCAGGGAATGGCTCCCAGTGCCAGAGGGCAGGGATGGGTGGGACATTGGGAATTGGGAATTCCTGGCTGGGCTGGGATTGCCAGAGCAGCTGGGGCTGCCCCTGGATCCCTGGCAGTGCCCAAGGCCAGGCTGGATGGGGCTTGGAGCACCCTGGGATGGTAGAGGTGTCTCTGCCATGGCAGGGATGGGATGGTTTTGTTTGTAAAATCCCTTCCCACCCAAACCATTGTGGGGTTCTGTTGTTGCTGGAATACAAGTGTGGAACAGCAGAACAACAGTGAGAGCTCAGGGCTGGGGCTGAGGCGTTGCTGAGAGAACAGAACACAAAGGAAAAGCTGAAAAATGCAGCCGAGCTGGAAGAAAAGCTGGGAATTGATTTCTCGTCCTGGCCATGGTAGCGCCTCTCAGCACTGTCTGCTGGCTGACACGTATTCCCAAGGACGTTGGGAATATTGGCTGCTGCTCTTCACCCTGAGAGGCTCTTAAATAATTTGTGCCCTTGGGTTTGTTGGGAAGGAGATAAATGGATCTGAAAGACAAATTATATTCCTGCAGATATTTTCCCCTCCAGTGAGCTGATGTGGGAATGAGACAGAATCTGTGGCTGATTTTTCCAAGATTCTGCTGATGAATTTTTCCATGGTAATAGTGGGTACAGAATTCCTCCTTGGAAAGCCTGCTGGCAGAGGCAGGACCATGGGGCAGGAGGTGGAAATAGCCCTTGGGACATTGCCATGGGATTGCCTGGGGTGGGAATGGGGATGCACAAGGGACAGGGCATGGGAATGCTGGTGCAGATGAGGATGGGGATTGGGATTGGAATTTGAATGGGAATTTGGGTGGGAATGGGAATGCAGGTGGATGTGGGTCTGGAGATATGGGTGCAGAAGGGGATGGGGATGGGAATGATGATGACAGGGGTGTGGATGCAGACTGGGATGGGAATTTGGGTGGGAATGTGAGTGTGGATGGATCTGTGTCTGGAGATGTTGATACAGAAGGGGATGAGGATGGGGATGGGATGGGAATGCTGGCAGGGATGGGAATGCAGATGTGGATATGGAAATAGGTGTGAATGGGAATTGGGATAAGAATGGGAATGCAGATGGGTCTGGAGATGCAGAAAGGGATGTGGATTCAGATGTGGGTGGGGACACAGATGTGGAATGCCACATTCAGTCCCTGAGGAGGTCCCAGTCAGCGCTGAGGCTCAGGAGGGGAAGCTCTGGGATGTGCTGGTGAAGCTGCTGCTGAGCAGCTGCAGAGCGAGGGGCGCAGCTGGAAGAGGAACTCACTTAAATTGCCATTTGTCTCAGAATTGCAGGTTTTTCCTAAGCCCTTTAGGAACAGGATTGCTTCCACTCCACTTCATAAACAGGAGCACCTGGGCTCTGGGTGAAAATTCACTGGGAAGTACAAAATGTGTCCTGGGTGAGGCCGTGGGGTGGCTCTGGCTGTGCTCCTGCAGATGTGAGGCCTCCCTGGCAATGGGAGCAGCATCCAATGCTAAAACCCCTGGATTCATATTTTCCTCCCAAGAGATAAAGTGGGCAACGGTTTTGTCTTGTGATCAGCAGCAAGACCAGCACTGATTCCATCAGCAGCAGCATGAGGTGGGATAAACTGGAATTTTCCTGGCTGTGTGTCACATTCCATCCCACTCCCCCCCGCTGCAGCCCCGCTGTTGTTTTTCCTGTGCCTTCCCAAGTTCCCTTCCTTTCCTCCTGGCTCCTGGTGAGCCAGGCAGGGGATGTGTTTGCAGAGGTGGATGGAGCTTCCTGAAATCCAAATGTCACATTTCCACTTGGCTGCGTGAGGAGCAAATGGCAGCGTAAATCTATTTGCAGATTTCTACAGAGAGTGGTTAAAAAAAAAATAATAATAATAATAATAATAATAATAATAATAATAATAATAATAATAATAATAATAATGATGATGATGAAAAAAAGCAGGATTTCTTCTGGAAGCCTCCAGCAATCCATGAGCATCATCTCCCTCTGATTCCCAGGGGTCACCAGGGTGGCCATTTCTGATGCTTGAGGGGACTTTTCTCCACGGTGGGAGGAAGAGGAAGGGCAGTATTTTTTGTGCCTCTTAGTCATGGATTTTATTCCCTGTTAATCTTTTGGAGCTGGATCCCAGCCTGGCAGCGATGGGTGTGGGAGCAGATTGCTGGTGAGGCCTTTGAGGAGGAATAAATGTATTTTGTAGGACTTGCTGATGTGTTGGAGTGTGCTGATGAGGGGCTGGTTTTGTGTGCGTTCATGGATATGAGGAAAATGTGGAATGACTTAGGAAGACTTTAGGATCTGACAAGTCCCATTTGCCCTTACAGCTCCTGCTGCTGCAGTCCCAGGGTTCTCAGGTAGCCCTGATGTCCCTTTGGCAGCAGGACCTTCAGAAAGGGTCTGTAAATGTAGGTGGGAATTGCTCAGTTCTGCCCCTTGGGAATGATGAATTAATGCCTGTAGAATCCTAAAATCATGGAATCCTTAGGGTTGGAAAAGACCTTTAAGGACATCAAGTGGCCCACCTCCTGAGGTGCCACATCCACAGAGCTTTGAAATCCCTCCAGGGATAGGGACTCCACCACTGCCTTGGACAGCCCTTTCCATGAAGGAGTTTTCCCTAATATCCAACTAAACAAGGGCAGGCCAATGCTTTTTTATTTTTTTTAATACATTTAGACTCACAAAATCCATTTCATGGAATTGCTGAAGGATTTCTGTGCATCCCCAATTTCCTGGGACTGCTGGAAGCTTTTCCTCCTTTCTCCTTGCAGGGATGACGTGCCAAGCCAGGACATCCTACACGGAGGACGAGGTGCTCTGGGGCCATCGCTTCTTCCCGGTGATCTCCTTGGAGGAGGGGTTCTTCAAGGTGGATTATTCCCAGTTCCACGCCACCTTCGAGGTGCCCACCCCGCCCTACAGCGTGAAGGAGCAGGAGGAGATGCTCCTCATGTCCTCGCCCCTGATCCCACCCGCCGTCAGCAACAGCAAGGAGAGGAACAACTCCGTGGAGTGCCTGGATGGGCTCGACGAGGTGGGCACAAAGCTGCCCTCAAAACTGCAGAAAATCACCGGGAGGGACGACTTCCCAAAAAAACTGCTCAGGATGAGCTCCACCACCTCGGAGAAGGCCTACAGCATGGGCGACCTGCCCATGAAACTCCAGCGCATCAGCTCGGTGCCCGGCAACTCCGAGGAGAAACTGGGCTCTAAGACCACGAAGATGATGTCGGATCCCATGAGCCAGTCGGTGGCAGAGCTGCCCCCCAAGCTGCAGAAGCTCTCGGGGGGCGGCGGCAGGATGGAGGGGAACCTCCCGCCCAAACTGCGCAAAATGAATTCCGACCGCTTCACATAACACGGCCGGGACTGCCAGGAGGGCAGCGGGGGCT